GCTAGGGTGAACATTGGCGACGTGACTCTTGAATTTGTCCTAAACACACTCACTAATCTCCATTAATTTTTCCTTACTTCTGCAAAGTGTGATAACCTGGGCTGATGGATATCTGTGCCAAACTCTACTTCGATCTATGAGTAAATCACTCTGGCACTTTCACTGAAACATGATGTTTTCACCTTTGTCAACCAACCTATTCACTATTTATCTCTTTAATATATATTTTTTTCTAGTTGGATTAAGACCTTCAATCTATGAATAAATAGGAAAATGTCTTATATTTATTCGGATATCTTTCGGAGAAGTTTTAAAGCTGTTTAGCTAATTATATTCTCGCATTTCCAATCCGTAGAATAACAACAATTCTTTCCCATTTTTCTTTGGAATTCCAAACTTTATTTGCACAATTAAATTAGGACTAGAAATTTTGATTTCTTATAGAGAAATTATTTCTACCTGTCAATCTGGATATAACCAGCCTCAGTTTTACAGAATTACTCTCTATATCCGATAATAGTGAAGTGATTAAGATTACAAAGTCGTAGGTGTCTGAGAGAGGATTAGAGAGGTTTAGTGTGTATGTCGGATTGTGAGGGCGATTGTTACTTCCCGGCTGCCCACACCGTGGAAGTTGGTTGCGTGACCGCAGAGCCCAGGGGACAACTGCTTGACGCCGGTCACACGCGGCCTGTTTTTGTTCGTTCTTTATTGTTTGGTGTGTCTCAGTAGCATATTTATCATTCCTGCCCTGCGACACAGCAGCAGGAAGCGCAGTCGTTGTTAATCCGGGCCCCGGTCGTTCCGGCATGATATTTTGTGAGTTTGTATGTATCATAGTATTGGATCGGATAGCTGCTTTTTGTTTAACCGCTATTCAAACAACCTTTCTGGCATAGTAGGACCTCAAGAGAAATAAGTCTCAGCCAGTATAGCTTGATTAGGTCATTGCGGTGTTGAAGCCCGACCAACACGTCAAGGCGGTAGCTTTCGGTCGTAAGGTGTATTTAATAAGAACACACTTTTTGAAAGAACGCGTTAAACACTTCGCTGCACAGTCTGTCAAAGGAAAGGCAATTTTAACCGCCAAAGTTTTACATTTCTCTGTCAAAAATTGCTTCATTCTCAAGTTGCCACTTTGTCGTTTATCTTTTAATTACCGTGTTCTAGATGGTTAGTGTTTCGCTCGTGACATTACTCTCTCCACCTAGTGTCAGAACAGGTAATTAGCATACCTACATACATACGTGTTGTACACTCGGTACTTGAATTGTTTATTTACTGTTTCTAGATGATCCACTCTTATGTTACAAGTTTTCATAAACAAATATTGTACAATCGATATTTTATATATATATATATATATATATATATATGTCATGTGATTTTTTCTATTCTACCTTGATGAAGTGCTTAATTATAAAAATAAAATAATACAACAAAAATTAGAAGAAAAAAAGTTTTCCAGAATTAATGTTATGAATAAAGAAAAAAAGAGAGGAAAGAAAGAAAAACATAATATGCTACTGGTTATACTAAAGTTACAAAAGGTGTTTGTTTCTGTGTACTGAAGGGTGGTGTCTGTCTCTATCGGGCTAGAGAAGCTTTTCGTCTGATCTCGTTTCTTTCTATAAAACATACCTTAATTGTACATTTCACACTTAAATCAATGAGGTGTATGGTAGGTACATTTTCACTACACTACAACAATGCAGTCCACTTCACTAATATGAAATACTTTTTAAATTAACTTCTTTCTTTTTCTCTATCGTGTTACTTATATTGATACGCTTTCGATTCACATAGAGAGTTTTTTTTTAATTAATTATCTCCTACATCAAACAGTGTCATTTTATGTATGCTCTGGTTGTCTAGGCTTGTTAAAATAGAGTGAACTATCCATCCTGTATTGTGGAATATTTTACACCTACATACTAGGTCAAATTTAATCATTCAGAGTTCATTTCTTTCTCTTCATTTATATTCAATTATGAATTTTTTCGGACATCAATTTTTGTTATGAAAAAAGAACCCACTTTGATACATTCCACATGTGTTGTTTGTTTCTAGCGTCTTCTAGTCTTAACTAACTAACAACGGAATGGATTGAAGAAAGAGTAAACCTACTCACAGTTGATTAGTAACTTGATGACAGTTCCCTTGACATCTGTGCGTCGGTGGCACAGTGGTTAGGACTCTCGCCGACCATGCACATGGTCCGGGGTTCGAGCCCACACCGGCACATATCTGATATCTATGGTCGGTCTGCAAAATTTGGGCTACCGATATCCATGCTGAAAATTCCATACTTGTACCAAAAATACAGTGTGGAATCAAGCTGTAAATCAAAAATAAAAATAAAAAAAAATCTATTTGTATTGTAACAACAGAAGATAAAGGCCAAGGCAACAGATCGTTTATTAAGGAAATCAACACATATTTATAGATTTTCATATGTATTATATTATATTATAGATTATTGTTAGCAGAAAAACACAATCTTCTGATTAGTTGTTTCTCACTGGAAGTTAATCTTTCATCCCTTTGTGGCTGTTTCTTGAACGTCAGATCATCTGCTAATTGTATCCGCCTACGCTAAATCTACTCTCAGTCTTTGCTCTTGTTATCTCATGACTAATATTTGGGACATAAACATTGACGTAAATTACTGTCTAGCAATTTTGACTAACAGCCAGTTCTCACCACACTATCATATTCTTTATTGTCTTTTCAGCATTGTGCCATTCTTCTGTTTCGGAATGATCGGAATCACGATCCAGTTTTGCGTTTGTTAATGGACAACATTTAGTAACTGGGTGACCTCCTCTACAATTACACAGTATTATCTATTATTATCATTATTATTGATAGTGCTTACAGACTTTAATGAATTGATAGTTTGCCCGAATTTTGCTCTTAAATCAATCAATCTGTGATTTCACTTAAATTATTACTTTGAATGGAATAAATCAGGTTTCGCCTGCAGTGGTAGACTGTTTTAGGTAACATACTGTAATCCACTAGGTGATTAGTTTAATTTCATATGATTTCTTTTATACTACAGAAAAATACAATCTTGCTTTCACTAACATAAGTAGGTATAATTGTTATGCTTCTATACTTCTTTCAAAATTTCAATTCGTTGGCTATCAAGACACCCTTAATATATAATTCATCACGTGCCAATACTTTTCGTCTCTGCTCTCTGAAAATCAATGGATTCTAGTCTGTTTAATTTTGTTCTTAATAATGACCTCGCCTATTTACTATTGCCTGCGCTTTTAATTTTAAATCATGAGTTAATCACCTAAATTACTATTAATCAATCAATATCTTCTCAGTAGTAACTACATAGAAATGAAGGTACTTATTCGTATCAGTAAGGCTAATTAGCTTATTGCTTTTTCATTCATTTGCGTTCCGAGTGAAACAGGGTGTTAAGCTGGAGCTTTGAAGTATTGTTTTCACATAGTCGGGATTCTAAGCCTCACACCTAACGTAGGCCCTCTTTATTGGGCCTACTACAAGCGAAATAAGACTAAGGAGTGCATCAGTCGGGAATCAAACCTAGACTATGTACGCCGTTAGCAAGCACTCTGTCATTGAACCAGCGAAACGAAAGTTATCTCTCTCTCTCTCCCAAACTTTTGTTTTTATTCAACTTTTGCCATGCATACCAACCACTTATTTTAGAGAACTACAAAGATGTCAGTATATTGGAATAAATACTGAACAAAGTTTTTTAGAAGTGGGTGTTGGTTTGCATGAATTTGACTGGTTACAGGGTTATTATGATGAGTTAACATCGGCTAGAGAACTATTTGAAGATCTTGAAGTACTGACTGGTTGTCTCATCCCAATTCGGGACTCTTGAGCAGACGCACCCAATCAAGGTCAAACTCAGGATCTTCCGGTCAGAAAGCTAGCTAGTAGAACATTAAGCCACAGCAACATTAAGCCATCTCAATGCCCATGCGTCTTAACTTCTGCCAATTCACGATATAGTGCGACCACTAGCCAACGTGATCAGTCCTGGTTTCGAACATCTGATGGTGGGTGCGTACTAATGAAGAGTCCCGAACTAGAACCAAACAGCTGTGCAGTACTTCCAAGTTTCCCAATGGTTTTCTAACCGATGTCAACTCATTAATGAAATCCAACAACAATTTGTTTGGTTTTTAGAATTGTCCTAATTACAGAGAAAGAGTAGAAGTTTTTCAGATGCTTCAGAAAGCCCAACAATCCTGGACACACAGTGGCAATGTCATGTATGAGTTCACCGCTTTTCTACACCGATAAATTGCTCAGTTGATTGTAAACCTGATCTGACCAAACTTAAATTAGTTAGAACTATCGTAAATTAACAAAAGGTAATTTGATGGGTAATCAGGGAGTCAATGAGTTCTTAATAATAGATGTGAAGTTGTGTTTCTATTCCTAACGATAGTTTCAAATCTAACATTTGAACCGAGTGTTCTTTCTTACGAAATCACAGATTGTTATTACCATCTGATTAAATTATATATGGAGTCTCATTTACATCTCCTATCTTGATAAACTTCATAAATGGTCATAAGATTAATTAATCAAAGGTATATTTTTGGTAACCGTGGTTAACATTGGGTATTAAGAAAGAGAGCAGATTGTGCCTGCCAGGAATACATAATATCACTATATTCATTTATCCTGTAATGTTTTACCTTATAGAGACTTGTTAATACATGTTACCTGACTACTCAGAGGTCGGTGTGGTTTATTCATGGTCTGCAGATTGACTTGCCCAAAAATTACAAGACCATTTAGATAATCTTTCCGAACTCATCGAAATTTTAGTCTTCGTGAAATTTTATCGTAATTATTCTGAATTGTGTGTATATGTGTGTGGTCAGTCTCCTGTAGAAGTGATGTAGGGTTATTGCCTTTAAGCTATGTATATATTTATTTTGATTACTGTTGTTGATACTTCCAACTGCATATTATTGATTTATTGTTATTAATAGATTACAGAAGCACGTTCAAGGTCTGTCCTTTACAATATGGACTTACTTAAACCTAGTGAAGGATTCCCCCAGGTAAGATTAATCTGATTACTTACTTATATGCTTACACATCAATTAATTTGCTAGAATTTCATGCTGATTCTGGTTCTCTGTATTACAATATAGTGAATGCTTCCCTTGCATTTTGACAATAATTTGTAAAACTATCCATGTAGTTATGCCTTGTTTAGGTTGATATTTAAAATGTGTTGTCTAATGCATGAAGGCATACATTTCCCAAGGGAAGTAGTTGTGTCTGTCTTCGAGATATGGAAAAGTCAACTAGAAAAATAATTAGCAATAACGCCTTATAGTTCCTTAATTTTTGTTCAATATTTTTTCGTCTTTTTTGTGTATACTGTTTTTCCATTTGACACTAATGTAGTATTCAAACTTGAGTAGTCGAGTATCTCTGTAGCATTTTTGTAACATAAGAAATAGTCTGTTCGTGTGTGTATGTGAGTGTGTCGCATTGGTTTTTGGACTTGGTTGTCAGTCAATGGGTCACGGGTTCTCGAGGCGCGACTCCACCTACTTCAGCCTGGGCAGTATCATCAGCCGTCATACGATACGTGTGGTACTGAGCAATGGACCTTTAACAAAATCTATTGTAAACTGTCAGTCTGGTGTCTTGTAAAATAATTTTGATTAACTGGCAGCATAGTCCTGAACCACACTGACATGAATCCTTCGTTGGTATCCATAAGTATTCAGCTGCATGTGATGAATATTGATTTCTTTCTATTTCTCCTTCATGACAGTCTATGTTTCTAGAAGACTGTTATGTCTACTGAAATGAAAACTTATCTAAGCGTTGACGTTATTCAGTAGGTTTTCAATCTTCCTTTAAAATGTCTTATTGGTGGTGTTCTAAATAAGCGAAATGGTGGATGTTGTCTATGTCATAGGCGTAGTGCCATTTTGATCTACCACAAACTTTTCGTGGGTGAATTACTCATGCGTCTTTAAAACGAATGTATCACAGATCTATTGCTGTTTATCAGACTAGATTTATATATATATATATAGATGAAAGTCTGTATGATTATCCTCAGTTAGGTCGTTTTCGCTCAGTAAATTTTCAACTTGTGAACGGAATATTCCCATATTGAGTCCTGAGAAAAAAAGACGTAAATACCGAAGAAAATTTTCTCTTCGACGATTCATCTTCATAAGCTAGATAATAGTATTTATATATTCAGTAAAGAATTCGTAGAACCAATCAGATACCGGTGAATCTGTTCTAAAAAATGTGTTACATAATGTAGGGTGTAATCTAAAAGGGGATGACTAATTGGGAATTGGAAAAAAAATGGGTAGAAATTGAGTTGCCGTAATGAGCGAGGAAAATTACCAATCAATATAACTGCGTAAAGTAAACAAAAAACAAGGGGAAAGATAATAATTTGTTTTTATAAAATCTGTATGAAAATACAATGTTGTTAATAAACAATAACAGAGTGACAATAAAATATGGGCAATGAGAATAACAATAATAGTAAACTTAGATAATAAAGTGAAGCAAAATTGTGGTAGAACGAGTGAATGTATGTAGTACTTTTGAATGCAGAGGTCCAGTTTCAGATCGTGAATAGTCAATTATTCAGCTATGTAAAGATGGGGTATTCGAAGTCCTTTCGTGTGATGTCGAAGAACTCTGTTTACCACTGCGAAGCAGCTGTGTCGGGGTACAGTTGACCAGATGTTCGAGAGTGTAGCTACTGGTATCCCTCTTTTCTCCTGTGGTTAGCCAAGCTGGACAATGTTCCAGATTACGTTTTTGCACTTGTCGTTGCGTACGGCCGATAAACTATGCTCCACAGAAACAAGTAAACTGATAAATACACATAAAGGTTGGCAAAAGCGGTATCTTATGGTTAACGTTTGACTGGATTAACTGTCTACTGAAGAATTTGATACGTAAGGTGGATGCTTGAAATATGTTCTTCAGACATTTCGAAAGGTGGTTTCTGGGAAATTTTCGCTTTATTATCGCTTTCGAATTCTAGGTTCCTGAAGGGTCTGTTTGTCCGTTTTCGACATAGAACTTTGCACCGATGTGCACCAGTCCAAGTCGCCACACTCCCTCCTTGTAGCACACAAAGCAAGAGAAGAAAGTAAAAGAAATGCATGACAGAGATAATAAACAGAGGTGTGAGACAAAGGAATAGTAATAACGAAGAACAATATAGTTTCATTGGAAATCATAAGTTACAAGGAGCGGATGCATCTGCGCCCTTGAGAACGAGGATTTTGAGCCATATCACCAATTGTTTCCAACCATTGGTTTTTAGCGTCCCGAGGACCCCAACCACGAAGTCTACACCTTCCTACGTGACTGACTTAAACTAGCTGTTGTGTATTTCACTGACTGTTTCCATGTTTTGGTTTGACCACCACTAACTCTTTTCCTGCCTGACCCTATATCAGCTAACATTGCCCATTGTCGAGGAAGGCGATGACTAGGCATGCACGCGTAAAACATGTCCTAATCATCTCAATCGATGTAATTTCACAGCCTCGTCGATTGATTTCCCCTCCTTACCTAGTACTTGATGCCTCAACTGAATATTGCTCGCTTCACACGGGAGATAGAGCGCAGGCACCTATGATCGAAGACAGCTAATCTTTTCATGTCTTCCACTCTCAATGACTTGGTCTCACAGCTACCATAATGGAGGACTGAGTGGACTGATGAGCAGTACACCCGCCCTTTGGTCGATAGCCGGATATCTCGTTTACGCCAGAGACTGCGTAAACTGGCATATGCGAAGCTAGCCCTGTGTATCCGTACTGAGGTTTCGTCAGAGATCAACCCGTTGGCACTGGCTGATGGTACTTCCCAAATAAGTGACGTGGTCAATGTTCTTTACCACTTCACTGCCTATTTCTAAACTAGGAGTCAGTGTAGTCCAGTCCTGTAACATTATCTTGCATTTGGCGGGGGCGAACCGCATGCCAAACATTCGTAGATTGCAGTTCAAGTTGTTCAGAAGACTCTGCATTTTGTCAGAGTCGTCGCCTAGAAGGACTATATCGTCTGCATATTCTAAGTCAACGAGATTATTCCCCGATGGTAACAAGTCAATCCCTGAGTCTCTGAAGTCACTTAGGGTTAAGTCCATTAACACATCTATGATGAAGTTGAATAGAAAAGGGGATAACGGGCATCCTTGACGGACACCACTAATCGTCACCAGTTCAGATGACAACTCGCCGTAAGCCCTCACCTGGCTGCATGAGTACGAGTAGAGCCCTAATCAGTGCAATGTATTTTCTCGGGATTCCGTTTACAGCCAAGCATCTCCAGAGAACCTCTCGGTCGACAGAATTGAATGCCGCTTTTAGGTCAAGAAATATAATGATTGTTGGACGCCGGTAGGAATTCCTATGTTCTAGAATCTGCCGGAGGGTGAAGATAGGATCAATACACCCTCTTCCTTGTCTAAAGCTAGCCTGGCTCTCTTGTGTTTGTTCCTCCCGAGCACGACTTAGTGTACGCTATATTATTGAGCCTAAGACTTTAGATACTATATTAGTCAAGCTAATCCCTCTGTGATTATCACAGGAAGACTTGTCTCCCTTCCTGTATATGGGGACAATCAGTGACTTACAGCAACCTGACAGAATTACCTCTGATTCCCGGACGCTGCCTAATACCTTAGTTAGCGGAGGCAGTAAACTGTCTCCACCGTTCTTGAACACCTCTGGAGTCATTCCACCAGATCCTGCAGATTTGTCTCGTTTCAGACTAGACTAGTGACAGCTTTTGTAACCTCAGTTATGGACGGAGGACCTGTGTCTACATCCCATTCAGAGAGGGGTTGGATGTTCGGCAGGTTGAGCGTGGCTGTAGGCCAACTAAAGTGCTCCTCAAAGTGTTCTCTCCAGCGTTCCAGTCGTCTATCCTAGGAGCTAATTATGGTGCCATTTTTCTCAGAGATTGTTTCACTTATCGTTTTCCTTTTACCACCTGTTTCCCTGTTTAGCCTAAATAGTTGTCTGGTGTTACCAATCGCCGATACCTTTTCCATCTATTTCGCTCTTGTCGCCCACCACTCTTATGGTCGTTGCGAAGACTTCTTGTCAGTTTTCGTTTTAGTAGCTTTCGCTCCTCATCATAATCGGTGCTCTTTGGAATCATTCTTCTTGCGTCAGTAAGTTCGGATGAGGCGGTAGAGATCCAATGGCTCTTACTAACTTCTGCCTTTAGCTTATTAACAGCTTTTACAACTGTGTCTACAGCTAACCGTATGTTGTTCCAGACTACCTCAGGAGGAGTCCTGCTGTCGACCGCAGATACACATTTCGGTATTTCTTCCTTAAATAGGGGCTCAGCGTCTCGATCTAGTTGGGGACGTAACTGTTTCGCTGCCATCAATTTCTTATGTCCGTTTAGTCGTAAGCATAAACGTGTGGGGACCAGAGCATGATGAGAGTCTGCGCACGTGTTTCAGAAGGAGCAGCAGTCTTCTACTGACCCTCGTCAACGATATCCTATCGCTATGTGGTCTATCTGAGTCCAGCGTTGATTTGGTGATGGAGGTCTCCAGGTTACACAGTGTCTCTCTTTGTGCCTAAAGTTAGTGCTGACTAGGAACAGATGATTATCTGGACAAAACTATGGAAAAGGATCACCGTTGTCGGTTCGTCGGCAGGGAACTCCATACGTAACACCTACATACTTCTCAGTCTGGCACAGCTTCCCTACTTGGTCATTGAAGTCGCCTGCCAAAACAACTATATCTGAACGATTTGCTTTTTGCAGCAAATTAGACAATTTCAGGTGGAAATCATCCTGTAGTTCATCCGAACTGCAGTCTGTTGGGGTGTAAGTGGAGACTACGAAAAGGCAACGGGTAGCGCCATCTTTCCTTCTTTTAACGGACCCATTCAGACGGATCGCACACATACGGCTATCTACTGAGATCCAGTCAAGAAGTGATTTTTCTGCCCTAACATTCAGTGCTATCCCTACACCTGCGAGTCCTCGCGAGCTAGCTGACAGGTCTCCTAACACCTTTAAAGTGAAT